AATTCTTTGTTCGATATCTCTCTCTCTCTCTCTCTGAGCTGTACCGTCTTAAGCGGCCGCTGTTAACAAACCGGTTGACAGATCGCGCACATATTTGGCATAGTAATTAGGGATCTTACCAACTTAGTGAAGTACATTTTTCTCGAAATATCATTTAATTTAAATTACAATTTCGGGGTACCTTTTTGTTATAATATATGTATACATATATGTGATTTCGAAAAGTACGGTCAACATGCGAAAAAAAAACCTACTGCGGTCAACATGCGAAAATTATACCTGAGATTATGTTATAATGTGACCGATTTCATTTGGTTGAGTATTTTCATGCCATCCCCATCAACACTGATACAAGGAATTGTAGTAACAAGAGAGAGAAACTGTCGTCCAAAATTTTTGAAAAAAAAACCTCCTGCTCTCTATGAGGTCTAATATATGTATGTATGTATCCTAAGGCACTTAAGGTACAATTGACAAATGCACTCAGCAGAAATATCTTAAGGACCTCAACCAGCACTCTAAAACTGCACCGAATAGGGTGACAACCTCACTCACTTTTCATCTAATGGTTCCTTAAAAAGCTGCTAAAAACGCGATAAAAAAAATAAATAATTATTCCAGAGGCATTAAATTTTGCACACAATGTCTCGCAACCTGCTCGAACAATTTGAACCAAATTCGGTATATGACATTCTTTTGACATTCATCGGACCACAACCACGTATACTACCCATATAACACAATTTTGAAATTCCAGTATACAAATCAAAAARCAATTAATATTTTGAGACACAACTTCGTACAAATGGTACCTTTAAAGTATGTCACCTTATGACCGAAAATTGTCAAAATCCAACCAAAACTGTCATAGGTCAATGTGTGAGATATATATGTAAATGAAAGAACCTTTTCCTGATAATTATATGTCTTAATGTCAAAAATTAGTTGAATAGAGTCAATTATATTATAAAGTGTAATCCCGTTTAGTTGCCCAAATTTTAAAAAGAGAAACCTCAGATACTTCAAATTTAAAGAGGAATCTTTATTATTATTCGAAATGTATTTTTATTTTTATTTTTTTTTTTAAGATTATATGGATTATAAAGATAGTCCATCCGTGGAGTCCTATTTTCGCTGACTAGTTCAAGAATTTCGACCGATAATTGGCGAATAACACACGTGATATTTTGCTTCAAGCCTCGAAGTGGGATTTTCCGCATAGACTTTAGACTTTATGTACATATCCGCACAATTCTAACGGTTTGATATCACACGATAGTGAAATTTTTTGCTCATCGAAGTGTTCTCTCAATAACTTCATTGATTGATGCGATAGAGCCAGAAATGGGCATCATTGGTGAACAAAATTTGACTCGAAAACGTTAGATTTTCTTGGAACTTTGTAAGAGCCTATAGAGTTAACCTATTTCGGTTGGGAAAGTCGATTGGCTTCAGACGTAAAAGACGCCATGTCGTTCCAAATGTCAGTCGTGTTGTTGGGAACGGCGCTGAATCGACTCTCCATGGCCTTCATGTACACACTCAGCAACGGCTGCTATGTTTAAGTATTTCATTCGCTTCGTGCTGGACGTAGTGTATCGAGTATTATTCAATAAGGGTTAGGTGATGGTGTTGCGAGTAGTAAGGCTAATTATGGGGAACCTGCTTTGGTTCTGCTAAGTTTATTTCATCGAATGTTTAGATGAATAGCAAAACCTCGAATTGCTAAATTTATTTGCATAAAAAATACTTACTAATTTCTAACATTTCAAATCTGTAATAGAAATAGATTTTCAAGACTTTTTTACATTTGACGCTCAACTTACGTTTTTTTTTTATTTCTTAGGTCCGTTGACAGCTTCTAACAAGAATTTTTTCTAATTTTCTTTCATTACTTTGCCGTTTAGCATAAAAAGAGAGAACAATACGAGCGTTAGTGACGCTTTAGCACAGTTTCCACAAAGTGGCGCTGAGCATAGACAGTTTTTYAACCTAACCACACTTTTCTACAGTAAATACATATTTATGCAGTCGCATCAACTGTGTTGCACGCAAATGAGATGCAACATTTGCCGCCGCGACAGCCGACAGTAAAAAGCCCAATAACAAATGCAAACAACATAAAATGAATGGCAACACAACAAAAATACTGTAGAATTGACTGCGGAGAAACAGAAAAGACACTCGACGCATTTGACGGTCATATTTACTTTGCTGGCGTGGGTTTTTTTTTTATAGTATTTCCAGCAAACCGTTAGAACTAAGTAAATAATTTTTTATTGTTATTGTAGTCAGTTGTCGTTTTTGTTGTTGTTTTTTTCCAACTAGCAACAATGTTTCTTGCATATAGTGTTGACTTAAGTTGCCTGCCAGCCACGCGGACGGCCTGACCTGCCGCTCGTTGCCACTGTTGCAGTTTCCCAAGCGCCAAATGCACGACAGCAAAAGCAGCACAACGACAACACAGCACAACAAGAATAAGAGAAACGAGACGAAACGAAACTGTTAAAATTATGCAATACAACTAATGCCGCAAACATTTGCCATTCATTCACCTGTTGTAAGCTAATAACAGCATAGCGTGCGTGCCTGTGTGTGTGTGTGTGTGTGTGGGACTAGCGACGAAGCTAGAGGAAGAGCCAGCGTGTAACATAATACATACTTATAACAAAAACAATTTATATGCAAATTACGCATAGTAACGGCATGCCAATGCAGCAGCAGGAGGCACAGCAACAGTTGTGGCAAGATTTGTGGCAACAATGTAATATCGCTGGAAAATCAACAAACAAATCGATTGCTGCTATGCAACAAYGATTGGTAATCGTCACAGATAGGCCGCCATTGCTSTGGCGTYGGAAAATTGCACGCAATCACAAATMCATATRAACATTACATACTTTGTGGCACACATAAATATACACAATCAGATATACATGGCTGCATACATATCTATCAGTATAAGTTTGYGCTTTGTAGGTGTTGAAATAATGTTGTATTCGTGTTGCAGCCATCAGGTGGTGTTGTTGCAATTAACTCACCGTCAGACATTTGCCACAGTTTCCGCATTCAACTTGCAACCGCTGTCGGTGTAGCGCCTCCATAGCTGGCGATTTTCACACAGCATTCAAGCGCATTAATTTAATTGTACCTACTTATGACAACAAAAAAAAATAGCAACATTATTAGCGAGTTGCACATAAATTACAAAAACAATTGTAATAATATCAGCGAAATAACTCCGTTTTTTGAGATTTTGAACTGAAATTTTGCGCACATTCTTTTCTTACCAAAGAGCTGCTCTTTTGTCTATACCGCCGATATCGCACCACTATAGCATATACATAGCTGTGATACAAACTGAACAATCGCAAGAAAGAGCCAGTAGGGAGAGCATTTTCATTTATAGATATATCTTCAAGAAATTTGGCATGGGTTATTATCTAAAGCAGCGGTATAACTTCAGGAGAAATTGTTCAGATTGGTTCACTATAGCATATAGCTGTCTTGCAAAGTGTACGATCGGAATGAAGTTGTTTATAGAAAACCTTTTCATTTTACGAGATATATTCCTTAAATTTGGCAAGAGATATTGCCTAAAGCAATAATGCAATTTCCAGAGAAATTGTTCAGTTTGTATCACTATAGCATATACCTGTCATGCAAACTAAACAATCGTAAAAAGAGACTTGTATAGAAAACTCTTTCATTTGTTATTATATATCTTCAAGAAATTCAGCACGTGTTATTAACTTAACCAAGGGTGCAATCTCTGGAGAAATTGTTCAGATCGGATCTTTATAGCATATAGCTGTCATACAAACTGAACGATCGAAATCAAGTCCTAAAAGGAAACTTTTGATTATTTTTCTTCTCTGCCAATAAAAATCTGTATTCTACGAAAAACATAAACAAATACTGGGATTTGAGAGCTATGAAACTGTACGTATCATTAATGATATATTTTCGAATATTGATTGACAAATTAATATTTGGCAAAATAATTAGAGAAATGCAGAAATTCATGCTGAGACAGGTTATATTACAGCTTCTGGAGCCTCCAAAAATGAAAATTTCTACAAAAACTTATATGGACATGCATAGAAATATATAGGTTTTTCTCATTTCCTACCATTTAATACATTTTATATAGGAAAACTATACGACGTGAAGAAAAAGTTTGTTTCTTAAGTCTTTAGTTTGAATTAAAAAGGATTCGTTCGCAAACAATTTTTGTTTGAATTTTTTACAGAGTTGTTTTTTTTGTAGCTTTGATACAATTATGGRATAACGCTACATGTGTGCTTATTATACAAATTTTTAAACTTTTTAATATTATATTTTTTTAGTCGAATTATTGCTTCTTCTAAATAATTAGAGGGGTTGGGTTTTCAAGATAAAAAGAAAATATTTTTTTTGTGAAATTTCTTAATTATTTTATTTTCTTATTTCTTAAATATTGATTGATTAATTTTATTCGGACCTTTTATAAATTATTGAGCACACAATACAATTTTAAAATATTTTCTTCTAAAAATTTCAGACTTTCTTTATTAATAGTGCTGGTTGCAACAATAAAATATTATAATAAACATTTAATTTTTTTTTTTATGAGATCCAAAATTGTTGAAAAGAAAACACATATAACTGCTTAATTATCGATTTAGGAACGTCACATAAAATATTTTTTTATTATTAACATTTTCTTTTTTACTTATTTTTTATTTGTAATAATTTATTCTTATTCTGTCTGCCGAAACTCGCTAAAATCAATTATTGTTTATAATTACATTTCTTATTTAACTTTGTTTGTTTTATATTTGCATTACTCTTCTTTTTTGTGGCTAATTTAATTTATAGCTATTTTTCAGGAAAAAGATATACATTTTTCAGGAAAAAAATATTTTATATTATAATTTATATCATATCATAATTTTAATAAAAAACTGAAAATATCGACCTTTATATATTTAATAATAACTTGCTTTTTTCTCTTTCAGTAAGTTCTGCCGTACCGTCGCCTTTTCGACTTGCCATCACGGAGTGGAAGTGTAATAAAGYTCAACTCAAGCCAAGTGTACGCCAAAATTGTTTGTATGTATGCGAGTCACTCAAGCTTATAGTCAAACAGTAAATGCTTAAAGTAAAGCTGAATCGTCGACGTTTTCTCACTSTTCCGCATTMRCTTCGAACAATATCGCAAGCAAAAGTGAAATTCTCAGTGTTATTATTTGGTGCATAACAAAATGAATAAGMAATCAGTAATGGATAAATAAATAGTGTCAATTAAATTGTATGCAAACTGTGTGGGCAAAACAAAACGTAAAAAGCAAGTGTTGTCAGTGAACCAAAAGAGTGAAGACAACAACAATAGCGCGAGAAATATAATTGGAAATGCAAATAAATAATAAATAAATAAATGTGATTACAGTGAGCTGTTTATATRCAGATGTATGTGTGTAGATGTGTGTACATGTAGTGGAGAATATTGTGCAATAGAGTGGAGCGGGCAATAAATCAAAGTCAAAGAAAATATTATAAAATAGCATACTATCGCTTTAGTATGCGCACACTTGCAAGTAAGTTAATGTGCAGACAGATTTAATTCATAAACGAATAATTATCTTAGAAAATCCATAAAAAATTTAAAATTTAGAATATATTGATATTTTTCATATTTAGATTCTAAATTATTACATGTGCGATGTTTTATTATATTTAATTTTTGTACTTTTAAACATCGACTACATTAATTTTTTTGTTATAATTTTTCCAATTGCATCTAAATATGAAAGAAAATGCGAGTACTTTTTTACATATGTATTTTCTCACAATTTACCAAGTTAATGGTCAATTAAATGGCATAGCACCCTATTTTATGGTTTGGTTAGATAAGGTTATGAAGGCTGGTTATGTGCGATAGCGGCGGGATCTTTGTGAAGTTAGAGGAAGATACCTATATTTGGATAATAATGTTCAACAAAGCTTTTTAGACTTATCACTGATTTAAATTAGATGCTTCATTTCAAGCAGCTTTTGCTACCGGCATCCAGCTAACTGATGCTTGAGGCTCTAAGTGTTTTAATGTTCCACTCAGCCTTCGGCCTGTATTGTGGCAACTAATAGCTCTTAAAACTCAGAACTTTACTTACACATAATAAGACAACAGCTTTAAGTATTTATATTTTTACTGGCAGGTGGAATGAGCAAACATCTATTGATTGAATCGTGGACATGCATACATTGGTCTCGCACGAATCTGAACTTTTGTTTGCCTAAACGAGACGACTTTGTGTACTAATGTCATCAGATAGAGTTTATTGAGTTAAACGACTACTTCTTAAAGCACTACTTGTTTTATTAATTTAATTTTGAATTGTATTAAATTGAGGTTTGGGATGCAAGTATGACCAACTCAATCGGTTAGTGATGTCCAAACAAAATTTTTATATGGAAAAAATAATAATAATAATTGTGTAATGCAGACTAAAGAAAATAGGCCGAGTAGTGGTGAAAATTTTGGACGAAGGGGATCATTCTAATACGAATCACATAATGTTAAGCGAAAGATTTTGCAAACTTGTAATGCATATATTGCATATTAGTGGCCAACCACCATCTTGTTATACAATATAAGTTTTCAAAAATAGCGTTATGGTTCCCTCACTAATCAATGACGCATCAATCGATTTCATCTATTTTTAAAGCAAAATATTTTATGTTATTTTCGTTAAATTATGTTATATATTACCCGATATATATCCTATAATTGAGGTTGTTTTGCTAAAATTGTCTTATATATTACCCAATATATAACCCATAATAACAGGTTATTTTGGTAAATGTATCTTATATGTTAACTTATATGTAATTTCAGGTTTTTTCCTTTAAGTGGTCAGTAGGGTAATCTTTTTCCAAAAATATTTTTTTTTGCATTTTCTGTTCCTTTATACACTTGGAACTAATGTAGAAAGCCACTTTGCCATCAGAAG